CCCTGTATAAATAGACATCCATGGTTTACATTAAAATTTTAACAAACACGAAATCTTTACGACTTCCTAAAAACTTACACATTTTGAACAGCATTTAATTAACGAAATTTGTTGTCAAAAACCTAAAGAAAAAATACTTTTTCTACATCCACATGGACATTAGCTTATCTACGCACAGATTACAAAGCGAAAAAGTATGCTATTGCCTTCAACTGAACGAATATATTTCATATCCATTCTAAGTAGTAAGAACACTGCAAAAAAAATGAAATCAGCCAATCACTGTTCATATTTTGGACACTTAACTACTATTATTTTTCTTATTTAATGTATTTTTTTTTTTTTTCGAAGGAAATCGCGGTAGCTGCGGGTGGAACAGGTTAGGTAAATTAGTTGTTTTTTTATTTTGCTCATATTTTTTGCAAAGAAACACACGATGGCTCCAGATCGCACAGGTTAGGTAAGTTATTTAAGTTTTGTTTAATTTTTTCAGTTTTTTTAATGTATACAGGGTGTACCAATAAAAATTCCCAGGCCGGATATTTTGGTAATTAATAATTCTGTAAAAGAAAGTTTATAGAGCGCTGAGAAAACTTCAGTTTTAGATATAAATTAATTTTAAATAGGTCAATATGTAGATGGCGCTGCACTTATTATATTTTTTTCGATGGGAAGACATTTCTTATGTAGCGCATCTTGTAAAAAATGCATTTTTAAGCAGATTTTGTTTTATAAATTAATTCGATAAATCTAGCCATTTTTGATATACAGAGTGAGTCACTTAAAACAGTTTCATCCTGTTTTTCGGCATTAATCATTGGATTTTAAGAAAATACTAAAACAGGTCGATTTTTATTTCAAATTAAACACATTCTTACAATACAGACATCTGTTATGTGTCAACCCCCTCCCTTCCACTTCGCCAAGCGCCTAATTTTAAATAAGGAATGTACCATGTCCGGCACATCATTGAAAAGGTAATTTTATGGGGAAGTCAGAAATATGACTTTTTTGCTATACTTTTAATTTTAGCGCCCTCTGTCGGGATAAAAAACCTGTAACGTATTATAAAGTGTGACACTTCATTTGAAAGCTAATTTAATTACTAATACAATGCACCACATAACATTAATACAAATATTTCTATATTGCACTTGCAACAAAATAAAGTTAGCAATAATGTTAAAATAATGCATGACTAATTTTCAAACTATTGTAAGGGCAATATGATATTTGTATTAATGTTATGTGGTGCATTGAATTGGTAATTAAATTTGCTTTCAAATAAGGTGTCACATTTTATAATACGTTGTTTTTTATCCCGATAGGGGGCGGTACAATTAAAAGCATCGCAATAAACAATTTCTAAATTCCCCATAAAATTACCTTTTTAGTGATTTATTACACATTGTAATGTCACACTCTATAATACGTAATAGTTTTTTATCCCGCTAGAGGGCGATAAAATTTATCAATGATGTGCCATACATATTTAAAATTAAGGTGTTAGAGAAGTGCAAGGAAGGGGGTTGATACATGACAGATGTCTGTATTGTAAAAATGTTTTTAATTTGGAATAAAAATCGACCTGTTTTAGCATTTTCTTAAAATCCAATCATTAATGCTGAAAAACAGGGTGAATCTGTTTTGAGTGATCCACTCTGTATATCAAGATTTATTGAATTAGTTCATAGAACAAAATCTGCATAAAAATGCATTTTTTACAAGATGCGCTACACAAGAAAGATCCTCCCATCGAAAAAAAAAATATTGAGCGCAGCGCCATCTGCATATTAACCTATTTAAAATTATTTTATATCTAAAACTGAAGCTTTCTTAGTACTCCGTGAACTGGCTTTTACAGAATTAAAATATCTCTATTACTTACCAAAATATCCGGCCTGGGAGTTTTTATTGGTACACCCTGTATATAACTTTTTTTAGTTGCAACCCGCGATGGCTCCAGGCCGCAAATTTTTTTCAAATTTTTCTCATTTTATGTATAATTTTTTCCGAAGGAACTCGTGATGGCTCCAGGTCGTACAGGTTAGGTGAATTGGTTAAGTTTTTTATTTTTGTTTTAGGTTGGATTCTATTTTTTGATATTTATTTTTTATACAAAAAAATTTTTAATTTCTTTTTTTGTTTACTTTTTTTTCATGAATCTAAAATTAAAGAATTTTTCAATATTGATATTATTCACGTGTTTTATCCTAATTGAACGGAAACTATTGGCAACACTGTATGAAAATTTTTCTCGGAAAATTGTCGGTTTTCCGCAATTTTTTTTTTTAATTACTAATGGAATAAATACTTTTTAGTGTTTAAACATTTTTTTTTTAATTCCGACATCTCTAATGTTATACAGAGTGTTATATGGACCCGTCTTATTTTTATGTGAGGAATCTACCCTTGGCCATGTTGAACCACCCTATATAAATTAAAAATTATTTCACTTTAACTTAAATATAATCTGTGATTATTTGTATAAATAAAAAAAATATTTATGTTCGAAATTTAATGTACCTATTTTCATTTCTTTAGAAATTAATCACACAAACAAAATTTGGGATAATTTTCTTGAGCAGTGTACCTAGGTACCTACTGTAAAATAGCTAGGTACCCTTACATAGTTAAACATTTCAATTTACTTTTTGCTCAACATTGTGAAAAAAAAATAAAAGGAAATAGTTTAGTTTTTTATTCAACCTTTTTTACCTGGTTATAATAATAATAATAATAATAGTAATAATAATAATAGTAATAATAAAAATAATACCAAATAATAACAATCATTTTATTATCTACCATATAGTATTAATTTATAAGTACCCACTATTCAAATTAGTTGAAGATGCATTATTATTACTTAGATAACATTCATAGACTCTGATAACTGAGGTTTTCGGAAGAACTGATTCATACTATGAGTGAATCATCCGAAAATTCTTTTAAAATTCTTCGATTCTACGCTCAAAAGTCAATTCTCTGTATTGGAATATCATTAAAAGCCACACGACTCTGTTATACCGTGAAACATGAGAGGTCACGAAAAAATAAAAGACATTTGCATTGAAAAAGAAAAACAGGAAGTCCCCACAGTACATAAATACATTTTTATGTGAATATGTATTAGGCACGATATATTTCCCTCACGTCTACAAAGAACAACATTCGTAGTCGGAGAAAAGACCTAAAGCCTAAACGTCAATATTCCTTTTTGGATTTGAAAAACAATATACTATTTTCAATTAAAAAGTTCATCTAGGCATAGTGCATAACTAAACAGGACCTTAATCTCATAATAATAAAAAATTAGAAGCTATTTACCTTTAAAAAATAATTGTTAATCCAAATAACTGGAACAAATGCATCCACCCACTCACAGATCTAAAACAAAACTGCGTAAGTTCATTTTCTGAAGCAGATGGCGCTGGAGTGGAACAACTGGTTATGTCTGTAACTTCGATATAGTCATTATAAAATATTAGAAAAATATCCCCAATTCTTAAAATTAAACCAATATTTTAAGTATTAGTTTTCCTATTTCTAAATTATTTCGTATATTTGTTAGCATTATAGGAAAAATAAATAACCAATGTACAGAATATTTCTCAATCCCCAAACAAAATTATGAAAAACAAACCAACAACATAATGATTTGAATAAAAGCAATAGTCTGTTTGAAACGTATACACTAGATAATAATTTAAGTTATTACAAGTTACAATGATGCCAAAGAACTTTTATAATGAACTAATTTAATAGGACTAATGGGAGATGGGACTATATATAATGCCCCCGAAAGTATGCAGTCCAATATACATGGAGTCACATGCTTTATGTTCAAGCTATGAAGACTATAAGACTACTGTTCAAGCTAAGCGATACTCCCTTAGGGTACAGTTTATAACATTTTAGTAGGATACGTGTTGCTAAGCGATACAAATTTTATTAACAAATGACAAAGGTAAACATGTAGGGTCCGATTTTAGAAGAACACTGCTACGTCATAACTATTACTTCGAATTTGGAATACATATTATCTAATGTCTATAACTATCAATAATTAAAAAATAAGTACGTGTTAGGTATAAAACAATATTTCCTATATTATAAAGTGTTAATTAACACTTTAAATCCTCAGTAGGTGACGAAAGCCAATTAATTACTTGGTCAAATGATGTCCTGCGTTCTTCTACGGAAATATTAACTTGACACTATAGGAATAATGTATATAACTTGAACTTTACCTATTGATTCAAAATTCTATATGACAACACTGCAGTGTTTTACCTACTTACAGTGTGGGAAAATTAATTTGAATTTTGAATCGCAGATTGTGGTTATTGATCGCGGTGTAGTTTTTACATTGTGGTTTTTGCCCTTCGAGCATTGCCACTGTTTTACAGCACTTATTTAGGAACATTTTTAAAAAACTGGATTATCAATAGAATTACAAAATTGCTGGTTCTGCTGGTTTTTATTTTCTGGATTCTACAATATATCATATATTTTAAACATTAGTGTTTTATAATTCAAAACTAGAGGTGCGTGACTCTTGAGTCTGGACGTCACAATACATGGGCCCTCGTGTTCGAATCTCACTGGGGGCCATGATTTTTTCTAATTAATTTAATTAATTCTGAAGCAGAGGTAGGATTTCCCACTCGACCATTCAAATTTAACATTGCTGTTTCTAAAGTGGCACGGCGGTTTGAACAGTGTCAAATCATCCACAAAACAAATTAATAAAGAAAAATAAATCAATTTAAACTGGGACAGGCTAATTAGATATATACTACCATACTAACAAAGCCTTATCACTAATAGAAAAAAATTTAAAAAATGTAAACATTTCAAATTGACTTTGACATATAATCAGGTCCGTTATCGGTTGTTTAGCCAGTTTCTAACCTATTTGCGAAGATGGACTTATGTTTTTGCGTTTTCGTAAATATTGAATTTTTTATAAAAAAGTGAAATCAAAATAGAGAAAAATGTCTACAATAGCTTTGCAACAATTTGTTGCAAATCTGAAATCGCGCTACGAACACGTTCGGTACAAAGCAGTAAACGACCTAGCCTTGTACGTGAAAAGTGAACTTAGGGAAGCCACTGCAGATGAAATTAATAACTTTTTAGATGAATTTAACCATCATATCTTTGAAATGGTATCTAGTAATGATGTCAACGAGAAAAAAGGAGGAATTCTTGCCATAGGCAAGTATTTATTTTTAAATTGGAAAATGTATCTATGTTATCGTCTTATCTTCCTTGTTTTTGTTATAAACGAAGTGAATTATTGCTGTTTTACATGTTTTCAATCGCACTTGACTATGAAAATATTAAATTTGATTTCCATAGCCAAGTCTGATTAAATAAAACAGTGTAACCAGTAGTCTCTGTGAATGCATAATAGAGCAGCCATCAAGGCATATAATGCCACCAACCTTGAGCATTAGGGCCTCTGGATACAGTCTAGGGTGTCTAAAGGGTTTAAAAAAAGATCTAAGATGTTAAATTTGATACATTTTTTCAGTTTGTCTGATTAGCACCGATGTGGGAAATATGACTTCAAGAATCAGTAGATTCGCTAATTATCTTAGAAATTTGCTTCCATCTAATGATGTAGGAGTAATGGAATTAGTTGCAAAAGCCATGGGGCATTTAGCCATAGTCTCTGGTTCCAAAGCATCTGAGTATGTTGAATTTGAAGTTAAAAGGGCCTTTGAATGGCTCCAAGAAGACAAAGCAGATGTAAGACAAAATTTTATTTAAATGAGTTTTCCATTTCATATTTTGTATGTACCTTTTAGGGCAAAAGACATGCTGCAGTGTTGGTATTGAAAGAGTTGGCAATTACAATGCCAACATATTTTTATCAGCAAGTGTCTCAATTTTTTGAGTTAATTACTAATGCTATTCAAGACCCTAAAGTGGCCATACGAGAAGGGGCTGTAGAAGCACTCAGAGCAGCTTTGGTAGTGACTGCTCAAAGAGAAGTTGGTAAAGTAAGCTGGTAAGTATACTGTTAAGTTTTTTATATCATATCAATAAATTTTGTGGAATTGATATAGTGTTTAATTTCCTTTTTTACAAATTATAAACTCTAGAGGTAAGGTTCCTCATTTTCAACAAGCACAATTTTATATTACATAATTAATTCTATAATAAAATTAATTTATTGTTATAAATGATAAGAAACCACACCAGAAAGTATATTAAAAAAATAAGTTGTCAATTTATGCTGATAATGAGGTTTTTTCATTTTTATTATAATTTTTAGACTGAATATGATAGTATTCTAAAGTCCAATAAAAGCCTTTTAACATCAAAAATTATAATAGGTATAACATGTAATTACCATGTTGGTTTTTTTTTAAGCAACTGTCACAAAAATTGGCATTCTACACATCTGATATCATCGCTAAAGCGTCATTTGCTTATAATCTTTTGTCAAACTTACTTCATGGCTGCATATATACTTCTTGATTAATAATCAAATGTAACAACACTAACAACCCCTATTTCAAAATTCATTTTGATAAGAATTGTCAAGAAAAAAGAAAACTCCTAGAATATATTGAAAATAATGGGATAAAACAACTAATTACTGAATTTACTAATGATTTCACTTTAACTGCTTGTGTGGAAAAAATTACATACTAGTTTAGATAAGGGTATTGTTCCACAGAGATTTGAAACATCAACAATAATTCCAATCCCAAAAATAGCTAATACAAACAAGGCAGATTAGTTCCATTTTGTGAAAAACTTTTAGAAGTAGTTGTATACAATCAAACCATGGATTTTATAACTGGAAATAAAATACTATGCAGTTATCAATCGGGCTTTAGGAAAGCACATTCTTGTGAGTCGGCTTTACAATTAGTTGTTTCAGATATGAAAAATATTTTTGATAAACCAGGAGTTGGTATCTGCGCAGCTTTTATTGATCTTAAATGTACATTTGAAACGATTGACCATAACATTTTACTTCAAAAATTAAAAAAAATATGGATTTAGGGAAACTGTCTATAATTGGTTGTATTACATATTAAATAGATATCAAGTAACTAAAATTAAGAATGAGGTATCAAATCCAGAATTAAATACTTTTGGGGTGCCACAGAGAAGCCTGCTTGGACCCTTACTATTCATACTTTATATAAATTACTTGGGACAGGTTCTTAAAAAATGTAAAATACAACATTTTGCAGATGACATGTTTATCTATTATTATGGGGATGATTTTGCTAAAGTTGCTGAGACCGTCAACCATGAATTGGGGTTATTAACATCTTAATTCAAACAAAATAAATTAAAATTTAATGAGATGTTCAATGGTAACAACTTTCTATACAATAGATTTTTGAATTTAAATTTAGACATTAAAATAAATAACGAAACAGTAGAAATGGACCAAGAAATAAGGTATTTAGGAGTTATGTTGGATAGAGAACTAAAATTTAATAAACACATTGACTATATCTATAAAAAAAAGTAGAAAAAAATAGGATTTTTACGAAGCGTGTCACCGTATCTATCAATTTAAAGTAAATTGATTGTATATAATGCACTTATTCAACCCCACTTTTGCTATTGCTGTTCTTTAATATGTACAGGATGTTCCAATTTTGATAGACTACAGGTCCTACAAAACAAAGCGATGCGAGTGATACTAGGTTGTAACAAATATTCAAATATACCAGTATTCAGTTTATGTTAGACGCTTTAAATTGGCTAAGTGTTGAAAAACTGCTATATGTACAAACAATGGTTTTTATATTTAAAATAATAAAAAATTTGTTGCCTGAATATCTTAACTGTGAACTAATCCCTGTCACAGAAATACATCAAAGAAACACAAGAGCACTCTATCAAATTTTATATACAAACAACTAATAAAAGTAGTTCTATGAAAAGATTATTTCATAAAAGGATCGATCAATTCAATCATCTGCCTCAAAATTTTAAAAATGTTCAGAATCCTAGTCAATTTAAAAAAGAACTTAGTTATGAATTATATAGTTGAAAATTGTTTTTTTTTTCAGTTCTTTTTTGTTTCTTTTACTTCTTTTATTTGTTATAATAATAATAATAATAATAATAATACTCTCCCTAATTCACCCCCTTACGAGTGAATTTTAACCCCAAAAGCTTTAACCAGTCTGTTATGTTAAATACCTACATCACTGTTTCTTTTATTCTTTTGTTTTTCTCTTTTTTTATTATATGTATGTGGGACAATTATGTTAAGTTTTATGTTTATTTTGATTTTGAATTAATTATGAAGTTCATGTTTATATTGAATTGTTGGTTTATTTTGAATTATTGCATGATATTATCGTTGATAAATAAAGTTACTTATTTGATAGCAGCCTGATTATGACTAAACTTGAAGTGGGTGACCTAGATTTGTACATGACCTATATTAACGTCAACGTCTGATTTAATATACATTTCCATCTTCTTTCTACCTACCTCTGATTACAACTAATTCTGAATCGCTGATCTATATTTGTACATTACCTCAATGACTACTTCAGTAGCAAACACTTGATTTAACATATATTTTCTAAATTTAATTGTTTATACTTAAAATAATGATTTAAACTTAAAATATAATTATTTAAACTATAGGTATAGGCAATGTTATGAAGAATCTGGAAAGCTTTTGCTTGCTGACAAAGGAGAGAGAATTAAAGACGAAAGGGTACACGCATTCCTACTGATACAAAATGAAGTGCTTCGCTTGGCCAATGCCAGTTGGGAACGGAAATACACTTGCTTACTTGAGAGAACTGATCCGAAACGTTCCAACGACCAAGAAAGTTTTAGTTTTAACAGGCCACTATTTATGTACCCTACGCCGCACAAGAAAACTATAAATTACCAACTTTTACAAACTTTGACACCAGAGAAAACAGTTATTATAGAATCACCTGCTTGTCACCAGCTCGTTGCTGAAAAATTTCCATATATTTGCATTGACATCATGCAACAGAAGTTTAATAGATATAGTTATGTTCAGCAAACGTTGCTGAATATTTTGCCTCGACTAGCAGCTTTTGATAAAACTGATTTTGTACAGAAACACTTGCCGGGATCGATGAATTATTTGTTCAATATGCTAAGAAGTAGAGAAAAGGAAAGAAACATGGCGTTTATTGCTGTTGGTTAGTATGATTTTAACATTAATACATCTACCTTTTTTTGTTTTGGTTCTCCTAATATATTTCTGACATACGAAATATTATTTAGGCCTGATTGCCATCGCTGTGGAAGAAGAAATAGAGCCATATGTCGATAGAATAATGGAACTTATTAAAGGAGCTTTACCGAGAAGTGAGATGACCCTAAAGAAACGGGCTACTATTGATCCCAGCGTTTTTAAGTGCATTACGTTTTTGGCTTTGGCCCTAGAGAGTCATGAAAAAATGGATATCCCCAATATTCTGGAGCAAATGCTTGCAACAGGATTGTCTTCCTCACTTACAATTTGCTTAAGGGAACTTGCTAAAAGCGTACCTATTCATAAGGTATGTCATTTATATTTGGGGCATCATATCTATATCCAGGTGTCATTAATAGATAATATTATAAAATAATTTTTGAGATTTAGTTTTATTTAAAAATGCACTCCTATTTTTTACTTTCTTGGGGAATGGAATTTTCAATAATAAAAATATTAGTTCAAAATTTTGTAACAATTTATCTAACAATTGTTTTGATTCAAATTTCTTTAATTATTCATATTGCTATTGGATATGGCACACAGCTGAATATACACTATCTCAAGTGTAAGATACTAATTTAAAATGTGTTTACTAAAAATGTTTATGGTAAATTTCAGGAAAAAATTAGTTTAGGCCTACTAAAAATGTTATCTCAAATTCTACTAAACAAGCCTTTGATCCATCCTGGCACTCCAAGACATTTGACTACTAATTTAATTCCCATCAATAGTTCTTCAGACATGTACGATACTCAAATCATAGTACTCGCTTTGCATACTTTGGGAACCTTTGATTTTGAAGGTATTATTATTTAAATTGGACATCTGTTTAGAGGACTTAATAATTTTGTTTTGTAGGTCAGCGTCTACTGCCATTTGTACAACGTTGTGCTAACCATTTTCTCGTCCACGATCAAACTGAAATAAGATTAGAAGCTGTTAGAACAACGTGCAGGTTAATATTTTAAATTAGAACATATCTCGGAACATATACATTTTTACTTTGTGTATATTGCGTATTTTTAGACTCCTTCGGCATGCAATTCGAAGCACTGTTAAAAATCCCTCAGACACTGTAACAACAACAGTTGCGTCTGTTTTAAACAGATTGCTAAGTGTGGGTCTAATAGATATGGAGGCAATAGTAAGAAGAGGTGTATTGATGTCTCTTGATCCGACTTTTGATCACCATTTAGCACAAGCAGAATCTTTAGGAGCCCTATTTATAGGTAATGTTCAAAATAAATATCACATTTTTATCTTTCTTATGGTATTTAATTTATTACAGCTCTCCAAGATGAAGTATTTGAAATTAGAGAAGTGGCTCTATTCACTATAGGTCGATTGAGTTGCATGAATCCTGCTTACATAATGCCTAGTTTGAGGAAAGTATTAGTACAGCTTTTAACAGAATTAGAACATTCTGGCATAGGCAGGAATAAGGAGCAAGGCGCCAGGATGCTGGATCATCTTGTTGTAAGCGCTCCTAGATTGATCAGGCCTTATATGGAGCCTATTTTAAAGGTTTGTAGTATCTTAAAACAAAAATATTGCCTATTCACAATTTATTAAAATTAATTTTAGGTTCTAGTACCAAAACTAAAAGAACCTGAACCTAACCCAGGAGTGATATTATCAGTGTTAATGACAATCGGGGATTTAGCAGAAGTAACTGGAGGCGATTCAGAACTGCAGCAGTGGATGCACGAATTGATGCAAATTCTATTAGACATTCTCAGCGATTCGTCCTCTCCTGATAAACGATCTGCCGCTTTGTGTACTTTAGGGCAATTAGTCGGAGCTACAGGTCATTTAGTCAACCCATACAACCAATATCCATTACTGCTGGATGTGTTAATCAATTTTCTTAAGACTGAACAGCAGCCCGCGATCAGGAGAGAAACGATTAGAGTATTAGGATTGCTAGGTAAGTTAATTGCATATATGCATTGGTTTTGATGTTAATTATTGATATATTTTAGGTGCTTTGGATCCCTACAAACACAAAATAAATCGAGGTCAGATAGATTACCAACCCGAAGCTCCGATGCTTATAGCAATGACTGACAAAGGAGCAGGTGAGAGTGACGGCGAATTTGGTCTCAATTCTAGCGAAATGTTAGTCAGCATGAGTTCGCATACATTGGAGGAATACTATTTGGCTATGGCTATCGCGACCCTAATGAAAATTATAAGAGATCCCGCTTTGGCACAGCATCACACTATGGTCGTTCAGGCGGTGACATTTACTTTTAAGAGTTTAGGTATCAAGTGTGTACCGTATATTTCACAAGTAAGACATTTTTATTGGTTACTTTATTAAAAGTACATTATTTATTTATTTCAATACAAATAGAAGAAAATACTATTCCTTTTTTTATTATGATTTTGATTCTTAGGTGCTTCCAAGTTTATTAAACGTCGTGAGAACTGCTGACGTCAATTTTAGGGAATTTCTATTTCAACAGTTGGCCCAATTGGTTGCTATTGTTAAACAACACATTCGTAATTATTTGGACGATATATGCGATTTGATAAAAGAGTTTTGGGTACCGAACAGTTCCATACAGAGTACCATCATTTTATTATTGGAGCATATTGCAATTGCACTGGGTGCGGAATTTAAGGTACCTGAAACAATAGAATACATTACTAATATTTGGTTTCGTATAGAAACGGTATAATAGTCCATGGGACAGGCGCCTTTTTTTAAAAATAATTACCACTCCTCTGTAATATTGCAAGTCTACTAAAAATTTTATCTGCGAAAATTATTGTAAACTGGGCGTTTAATAATAATAATAAAATGCCTTTATTTGCTTGTAATATAAAATGCACATAAACATCATGAGGCGAAGTCTAACTTGCGCTACTCAACTTAACCTCCCCATAAATATTAATCAAAAGGTATCCATCATTTACAATATAAAAAAAATAAATTTAATATACAATTAATTTATGATTAAATAATCTGAAATCAATTTAGGTCCTAAAATCCGTTATTCTTAAAACGCAAAAACAAGAAAAATGTATGGAACTTAAAATACATTTAAATAAGGAAAATTGTTTGAAATTAATAACATTAACGTTAGCACTATTCATTGCTCAACTAATAGCAACGTTTTATAATTTTGTTTTAAAAATGTCAGAGAATGTGTCCTAATTTCCCTAGGTAGACTGTTATACAGTGCTTTTCAAAAGTCCCCTCCTCCTTCTTTTTTTTTGAACGATGATACTTAGACGGTGAAATTTAGAGGGTGGAGATGAACTATTGCAAGCTTCTCTACTAGTGGTAACAGGTGACGTAATAGGCATCAGTGACGTCACCAGGCAACTGAAACATATCGTTTGAAAGATAATTAGAATACCTATTCAGTCATTCTATTTTTTTTTTGGATTTACGATGTTTTTGATGGTTAAAATAAATAAACACTAAAATTTGAGTTTCGCTTTTAATTAATAAATATTGAAGTTCTTATAATAATTGTTCAAAATGTGCTCCATCTACTTCCTGGTAGTAAAACATCCTATTATTAAACTCTTGTCGGACTCGATTAAATGTGTCAGGGGAAATTGCCCTACATTCTTCAACAATTCGTTGTTTTAAAACGTCAATGCTGTCAGAAGCTGTAGCGTAAACTTTAGATTTAAGATATCCCCACAGTAAAAAATCTAAAGGTGTTAGGTCCGGTGACCGAGCTGGCCATTCTATTAGACCGCGTCGTCTAATCCATCTATCAGGATATTCCTCATTTAGATAACGTCTTACTGCAAAGTAATAGTGTGCAGGAGCACCATCTTGTTGGAACGTTATTTCCAAGTTACCAAACGCTTCAATTGCGTTTTCTAACATCTCGAGATATACTTCACCGATTAAATTAGAGTTCAAAAAAAGAGGTCCGACTATGTGGTTTCCCAAAATACCTGCCCAGACATTTACTTTTAATGGGAACTGTGTATGTTTTTCACGAAACATGTGAGGATTTATGTCACTCCAATACCTCACGTTTTGAGTATTTGATCCAAACAAGGATAGTAAATTAAACGTCCATAGTTTAGGATGCACAATACAAGACTTTCACAGAGCAACTTACGTAATTTGAAACATAAAATACATCGATTCCTGTATACCTAATTAACGAATAACCAGATACGATTTTTTGACTAGGAGCGAAACATAGTCCTGAAACCTAAGTTTTTGGCACATGGTTCATTTTAAATGAATAACTTAAGGTTCTGTTGCACATTATGTTCTATATTTGTAGGACAAAATAATATTGTATAACATTTACTGGCATTTATTAAGGTTATGATTCATTCTACTGCCCAGCCACGAAAAGCGTTAATTTGGTGATTAATTAAAAATGTATAACTATCATTTTACTTTCAAACTTAATTATAAAATAATTAAATTAAAAATTGCGGAAAAAAATTTGTCCCTTTCACTGATTTTAACACAAAAATCACACGCATAAGTGATCATTTTTTCTGATCAGTAATTTTAATGTCTGACAGAAACATTGGACCAAGTCTGAAAATAAGAAGACATAAGCAATTCAATCAATTCTCGGTACCACATTTCCGAATTCAACCAATGTTTCCCAAAATTTTACGTTTTTAATTCACACAATTACGCCAACGATGATTTTTTAACTTTTTTATGCACCGATACATTTTTTAAAAGTTATTTTAACGTTTCCACTACCAATACAGATTTTTTTAATAATAGCATGTTGTAAAGTGTGTATGTATGTAGCACTATGAGTCGAGTGGCTGGTATTCATTTATGGGTCTTTTTTAGTGATTTAGCGACACTGCTTCATATCCCAGATCAAATCATGTAGATTTTTAATTAATTGGCATGATTCGTTGTAGGATTTAATGAAGAAATATGACGAATACAATCTGGGATACCATTTTTCAAATACAAGATTTAGACGATGCAACTGGAGCATTCTTAGAAATGGTCCAAACCGCAATAAGCAAATCTGTAATAAATAAAAAAATAAAACTAATGAGGTTAAAAGGAAAAACTGGATAACAAGTTCTCTAGTTACGTCGGTAAATAAAAAAAATAAACTATACAAAAAAACTAAAAATGATCCAACTAATCAGAGCTTAAAACTTATATAAATACAATAAATGTAAACTTACTTTAAGTAAATCACAAATCGATTACTGAAAAATATAATAACTAAAAACAAAACAGATTCAAAAATACTTCCGAAAACAGCCAATAAAATACTCTCAAAAACAAGTAACGTAAATGAAATAAAAGAAATAAAAAATAAAAATGAAATAATTATAAATCCCGAAGCTTTGCATTTACCTGTAACAACTATTTTTCAAATGTGGGTAAACAATTAGCTAGTAAAATAAAAAATAACAAACTATAAATAAGTAAAAAAAACGTGTCCACACTCACTGTTTCTTTTACCAACCAATCACAACGAAATTAAATCAATTATTTCTGACTTAAAAACAAATAGTGCTCCAGGACCAGATAACATAACAACCAAAAATATTCAATGTATATTAGAAACCATACTCAAACCTCTAGTATTATCTAGCAATTATTGGTCCAGATATTTGAAAAAGTTATAAAGAAAAGATTGAACATGTTCCTAACAAAACATAAAGCACTCAGTAAAATGCAATTTGGGTTTAGAGAAGGACAATCTACAAATGATGCTATTATAGAATTAACATCATATGTCTATGACAAAATAGATAAAAAAATCCCTACAATTGGGATATTCTTGGATTTATCAAAAGCAATTAATATCGTCGATCATCAACTTCGTTTAGAAAGTCTAGAAGATGTTGGAGTCAGAGGCCATGCCAGAGCTGGGATGAATCCTCAAAAAATTGATTAGAATCACGAATCCGAATCACGAGATGTGATTCGAATCACGGATCCTTTGTCCGAATCCTTTTTGCAATAAAAAAGGATTCAAATCAAGTGATTCGAATCCATTTTTTCGGATCACGAATACGAATCACTGTCGGTGCCATACCATGGTATTATGTAGGCTTCCGAAGGCAAGTGTTAAATTTTAGGATTTTTTATGTTGGATATTCATTGCTAATTTGAAATGTCAAAGAAACATATGCCAAATTTTTAGGCTATTTTTATGCTACTCGTTTTTTTTTGCAAAAATCAAGTTCTCTGCTAGCTTCGAACGAAGCACTTTAGTTTTTAAGTTTTTTCCAAAAACAACAACACAATATTTTTAGGGTATTTTTAGGCTTTTAAAATATTAGCCAGAAAAGCACATCTGTTCCAACAAAGCACCCTGTATATTTTAAAAAACACTATTTTTTTCGCAGTTTTATAATATTTAAGAGCCTAAAAATAGCTTAAATATGTGCTAACTTTGTTCCAAGCATAAAATTTTTGAATAGGGTATAAAAATAGCCTTAAAATAACCTAAAAGTATGGCATAGGTTTCAACTCAGAATTGTCTAGGTGCTCTGCTGCCTTCTTTAATATTAATTTGTAAATTTTTACGTTTATCTTCTAAATATTAACAATCAGTCTTCAGTCTCAGTCTATTTCAGTTTACACTTCGTGGCAAGACAAAGCGTGAGTCGACCGTTCGCGCCGGCGTAGTTTGGTCTCTAAAAGGATCCGAGACAAATATTGATGATTCTAATACGAATCCTTGAAGATTTCCTCGGCGAATCCGGATCACGGATCTTTTTTTCTGAAGTATTCGAATCCTATGTGATTCGAATCCTCCCCAGCTCTCCATGCAAACTCCTAAAAACCTACTTACTGGGAAGAAAACAAAAAGTTAAAATAATCATTTAAGTGAAGATCAATATATTACGTGCGGAGTACCTCAAGGGACTGTTCTAGGTCCACTACTGTTTATATATCTTAATAATTTATTCGAAGTCAAGCAAGGAGGGGGAAAAATTTTGTTGTTTGCAGATGATACAGTCATTATTTATAGCCATACATCCTGGACCGAATTAAAATTATTAACAGAACACGGTCTAACAGAAGTTAATTGAAAATTAAAAAGAAAAAATTACGAAAATCTAGAATTTATCTCATTCAGTAAAAAAAAAGTTTTATTTGAGTAATAAAACCTTTATATTATTATTTTTAAATCGTTTAAGTTTGTTAGTTCTTAGTTTAGTTTAATTTAGTTCAAAAATTGTATAAATTATTTAATCTACACAGTCTCGTAGAAATTGCAAATATTTATTGACATATTACCAATTGTTATTTGTTATTCATGCCAATAAATATTATTATTATTATTTCCATGTTGGTGGATGGGTTTTTCCGGGTTTACCAAATGAAACCATAAATCATCTGTAAGTGGCACAAGCTCAGTCGACTTCTGGGCTTAAAATCCACTTGTAGGGAGAGTATAATTATTAATATTCCGATTCATAATCTCAGAACTAATTTTAACATATCCAAAAGATGATATTGTAAACTTTTAAGTAAACAGATGCTATTTGATACGATATTTTTTTTGAGTAAATTTGAACATCAGACAATTTATTCATTCATTTACATATTGGTATAATAAAAATTACATTACATTGTATTTTGCAATTTGACTTGATATAATTTTGTCATTAATCTGAATAGAATCTGAGAGTTTTAGCTCGAGGACTTTATTCTTTGATTCGACAAAGTGATATCAAAAACACTCAAAATTTAGATCTAATAAAAATAGTCGACTATTTATACTATTATTACCCTTGACAATTTCAGAAACTGAAAATATCTTCAAAATAAACATCTCTGTTTATTGAGGATCCTTTTGGATCGACTTGCCTTTGGCTTTCTTTCTGTTTTGAACTTGTGTGAGGGTCTCTGATTGTTCTACAGCGGCTGTGGCGGACAGGGAAGCTGCGCCACCGCTTGTCGCGTTTTTTTGACATCTAAAACAACTTGGTTTTGAAATACCAGGCTTTCCACATCCAAAACAGAAAAAAATTCCTAGGTATACTACAGTTACTATATGTGTGTCCTTGTTTGTGACAATTCCAACAAGTGATATTTGAGGAATATCGAAAGCATGGATAGACTTATTTTTAGCAGAAAAACCAGAGGTACGATGAGTGCTTAAGTCAGATTGTAGATAATAGCAACTTTTTTTCGAATGAAAAGAGGAAAATGAGTTTGAACTCTGCGTCCACGTAAAAGATTCTTCGAGTCTTTTGCATTTCTCAGTTAAGGCATCAACGGTATCGATATCTAATAAAACTAATTTAGTCTTTTACATTTAAATACTTAATATAAATTTTGACGAAGTTCTTACGCCTTATCGTTTATGGAAGGGAGGGTTACGATTTTTTTTAATTTGTACAGAGTGAGTGGGGTTTTAAAATCATTGAAAGTTTGCTAACGTAATATTTGAACATGTGATTTTAAAAATATTTACTAAACAATTCTGAAAAAAATCAGGATAAATTATCATTAAATCGTTTCAGATAGTGGACAGGTGTTTGACGTTTTTGACGGATTTCGCGTTGGTTATTTAATTTACCTAAAATTTATAGCAAAGTGATGGTCATTAATTTTTAACTCCTTACTAAATGACCACTTTTTACGACTAGGCGATATTAGAAGTTTTACAAGTAAAAACGTTGGTAGACTCGTCAAAATGAAGCACGAAGTTACAGAGGAGTGATAATTATTTTTAAAAAAATGATTCTGTCTCGTGGCCTTTAAGTAAATATTTAATTTCTTTAGGTATATCTACCAAGATTGATTCCTCAGATATTGAGAGTTCTGAATCATGATACATCGAAAGATAAGCAGTACACTCTAAAATTATTAGAAGCGATGCATAAATTTGGGAATAATTTGGAAGATTATATGCATTTAATATTACCGCCTATCGTAAAGTAAATTTTCTTTAAATTTCACAGATTTGCATATTATATAGCATTTATATGATTTTTATAGATTATTTGATGCCCCTGACTGTCCAACTGCTGTGCAAAAACAGGCCTTAGAAACTATCGACCAGTTGGCGGAAATTTTAGATTTTTCTGATTTTATTTCGAGGATTATCCATCCCTTAATGAGAACCATCGATAAGAACAATTCACCTGAACTACGAGAAGCGGCTATAGAGTGTTTGTGTACTCTTGTAATGCAGGTAAAATTCCACACATTAACATTGAAAAGGATCTGATATTAAGATCGCCGAATTTGACATTGAAACTACTCTTAGACAAATATTATTATTTCTTTATCTGTGCTTCTAAACCATCTTTTCATGTTTTGTTTTATATTGTATTTTTATTATTTTCAAAAATTCATATCTCCGAAACTAGATATAGAAACTGATTTAAACTTGCACATGTAGCTTCTATAGTTAATTTTTGCAATACTATTCCAAAAAATTATCAAAATTGGCTAACAGCCATTTTCACATGTGTTTGGTGCAGGGTTCTGTATTTGTCTTTGAGCGGTAACTTGTGTTCACAGTAGACCTCAATACAATAAAAAATATAAAAATATTATAAATTGTGATAGATTTAGTAATTAAATTTTTAGCTGGGTCGCAAATTCTGCATTTTCGTGCCGATGGTAACGAAAATCATGTCGAAGCACAAAATCCAAAACAGAAAATTCGAAATACTTCTATCGAAAATTCAAACGGAAACGACAATGGCCGACGAGACGGATTTGGGCATTACAAGAACCAAAACGAAGAGAAGTAGAGAAGATACGGCAGTGACGAACGATTCCTCGATGAGCCAAAGACTGAAGGTATCCGTGAAGAACTTACAGCAAGCCTGGACTCCCAGCAGAAGGGTTTCTAAGGTAAATAAAAATTCTATGGTTTGTAAATTAACATTATATCGTTTACATTACATCTTTTAGGACGACTGGTTAGAGTGGCTGCGTTGCTTGAGCTTGGAACTTCTTAAACAGTCCCCTATTCCCGCCCTGAGATCCTGTCTTCCATTAGCTCAAACCTACTCTCAACTCCCTAAAGATCTCTTTAATGCCGCCTTCGTCAGTTGCTGGGCAGAACTGTTAGACGATAAGCAGAAGAGTTTAATACTCGGATTGGAGTTAGCGCTGAAGGTGCCCAATGTTCCGGAAATAACTCAAACCATCTTAAATTTGGCCGAGTTTATGGAGCACTGCGATAAGGGACCGTTACCGTTGGATCCTCATTTATTGGGTGAACACGCGATGCATTGTAGGTAAGAAATAAAAACGCTGTTGCTACATACGGAGTACCGCAGGATTCCGATCTAGATCCACTATTTTTCTTTGTATACAATTAAAGTATACAATAAAGTGGTGAGATATATAAGAGATGATCAGGATCAGTTGTGCTGATATTTCATTTTATTTGCTCTAATTTGTATATCTAATTTTTTATTAGGGCGTACGCCAAGGCTCTTCACTACAAAGAAGAAGAATTCCAACGGGCCGGAGGAAACAATGATAACGTTGTCGAGTCTTTGATATCTATAAATAACAAATTGCAACAAAAAGAAGCGGCCGAAGGTCTTCTTCAATACGTTTTAAGAAAGTCCGGCAATGCCCTGGTAAAAGTCGGTTGGTATGAGAAGCTTCATAACTGGGACAAAGCCCTCGGAATGTACGAAGAAAAACTAGAAAGTGAAGAGTTTGATCAAGAAGCGATTTTAGGCCAGATGAGGTATGTTCAAAATGACTCCATAATTGTTTTTACCATATTAATAAATAATCTTTAGATGTTTGGAGGCATTGGGAGAGTGGTCGGGTCTTCACGATTTGGTAGAAATCAAGTACAATGTGTTATCAGAGAATTTCAAGCAAAAAGCTTGTCGCCTAGCTGCAGCTTCAGCTTTTGGACTTCACAATTGGTCTTCTATGGAGCGTTACGTTAAATGCATTCCTCTAGATTCTCAGGAAGGAGCTTTTTATCGGGCCATATTAGCAATTCATAAGTGAGTTGCAGAATATCTAGATAGTTTATTTGAAACAGAAAATTATGTTAAAATAGTTATATATCATGAATGTTTCAATTTTTAGAGAACAATACAGGGTAGCACAAGATTATATTTACACAGCTCGTGATATGTTAGACAAGGAATTGACAGCCATGGCTGGGGAAAGTTACCAAAGAGCCTATGGAGCCATGGTCCAAGTACAAATACTTAGTGAACTTGAAGAAGTAAGTAAACAAATGAGGATTTTAAAAACTGGCTACAACATACTTTTTTCCAGGTTATGCAATATAAATTGGTGCCTGAACGCAGGCCTACAATAAGGGCCCTCTGGTGGCAGCGATTGCAAGCCGGTCAAAGTTTAGTTGAGGATTGGCAAAAAATAATTCAAGTTCATTCTTTGGTGCTGGAACCTCAGGAAGATATACATACCTGGTTGAAATACGCAGCTTTGTGCAGAAAGAATGGATCTATAGTAAGTTTTTTATATATACAGGGTGTCCCGAAATTAGACGGTCATATTTTAACAGGGTCATCTACATCCTAAAATAGAAGTAAAAGTTCATATAAACATAGGTCCGAAAACGTTTCGTTTTCGAGATACAGGGTGTTACAAAGTGAAGTCCTGATGGCACATTTTTGTAAATATTTTCTAAAATTTCTTTAGACACCGGTTTTCAGATGTTAAAAAAAAATTTCTGATTCCACAGACCTACTAATTATTGTTTACACTTTCGAATAAGATCAACTTATCATGAAATTTTCAAATGCTTTTCTCTTGAAAATGGTGCGTCCTAGTGAGATACAACAAAAGTAGCTTTATTATAAAGAAAATATTGGTTTTCCAACTTTTGTAGTCAAAAATGTTAAAAACAGTCAACAAAAAACTTAGGACAATTTAACCCTAAGTCCCTCCCCTAATTTACCCACCTATGAAGATGATCAAAAACTGGCGTTTAGTCCAATAGAGCGTAAAAATTTTAACATTTGTACCAAATTTCACTCAGTTATCTTTAAAAGTTTAGAAAATATTTACAAAAACGTGTCATCAGGACTTCACTTTTAACACCCTGTAGCGTTTTCGGACCTATGTTTAAATAAAATTTTACTCCTCCTATTTTAGGATGTAGATTACGCTGTTAAAACATGACTGTCTAATTTCGGGTCACCCTGTATATAAGTATGCATTCAAATTAAACTTTTTGACATTACTGTAATTTCTAGCAACTTTCTCACAAAACTTTGGTTATGCTGTTGGGCTACGACCCAGAAGAAAACCCTCAAATATTATTACCGGTTACATCACCACATGTGACCTTTGCTTACACCAAGCATTTATGGGCGACTGATCAGAAGCCGAGGGCTTTTCAGCAGCTTGAACTGTTCTTGAATGAATATACTCTGCATACAGAGTCCAATTTGACTCCTGAAGAAAGACAAGCTTTGCTAGCAAGGTAAAGAACATTTTTTATACATTTATATGTTAATTTGAATATATAATTTTCTTTTAAAGGTGCTACTTAAAATTAGGTACTTGGCAAGAATCTTTGGAGGGTATTACAGAAAATTCTGTAACCAATATTCTAAACTGTTACCAACAGGCCACCGAATATGATAAGGTAAAATATACACAATTTATTATTAACAATCGAAAATTCAATAAATAATTTTTAAGGATTGGTACAAAGCATGGCATTCCTGGGCGTATATGAACTTCGAAACCGTGTTATTCTACAAAAATAAACAAGATACTGAGAAAGGAAAATCAGAGAGACCAAACAATGATTCAGAAACTAACCTCGATTTGAATAAACACACTGTATTAGCTGTACAAGGCTTTTTCAAGTATGTATTTCTCTTTATTTATTTACTGGTTATAAACTTTACATTTGACATTAAATTACTAGTTGAATCTACTATAGCTATTGATTCTTATACACAAAACCGCATACAAAAAGTACAAAATTATTGTGCTAGATTTATTTATGGACTTCGAAAATATGATCGAGTATCTCATCAAATTTATGAACCTAAATGGTTAAAAATGAAAAATAAATTTTTTTTATTAATTTCTTGTATAATGTCATAAAAGGAAATAAACCAAAAACTCTTTTGGATAAGTTAATTGTGAGATCAGCACTGCACCCTCTAAATGTCCACTCTAGAAATCTTTTTCACAATCTGTTAAAATTTATAATGAATACTTAATGAAGCAAATACATCATCCACATCATATTTTCAAAAAAAAAAAAGAATTTACTCTCACAGCAATTTTTAATTCTTTAAACTTACTTTTCAACTACTTTTAAATTAATACATTGATTGTATTATATTGAGTAGAGAATATAAAAATTCTTAAATATCCAACAAATGATTGAAGAAGTCGGTATGATATTTATTACAAGGTAATCCATAAACTGCCTGCATATTTATAAAGGTTTTTAAGCCATGCTTGAATACGACCTGAGGAGAACAAATCAGAACTACCTATATAGATAGGTATAACATCAGCACACTGGAAAAATCAACATTTGTTGAAGGACTGAAAAAGTATAACGGTTTACCTCTTACTGTAAAAACAGCGCGTAGAGTTTTCAAAATAAGATTGCGGACTATTTATTTCCAAGTCTAATTTTTGTTTGCTTTAATTATTTTACGTTATGCATCTTTTTATGTAAATATCTCTTAAGCTACCATTTCGCAAGTTGAGGCAGAGACCGAATTCAAAACGCGCCGCGACAGCAAGGAAGACACTAAACGGTCTCTTCACGTCTGAACACATGTAATTATATGAAACACATTTCGGTAGAAGCGACCGACGACATCAGATTTAGTATGGGGGTGGAGTAGCTGTTTATATTAATTCCTCTTGGCAGGTATCGGAGATTGAAGAGTTTTTTGATGATAACATTTGTTATGAACAATTGTGGTTAAAATGTATTATCGATAAAAAGCCCTATGTCATTGGCGTCATTTATCGTCAACCTAAACAGCCGCTTTTAGAATTTATTAGAGATTATGAAAATGTTATGATGAATGTTTTAGCTTCACATGAAAATATAATATGTACAGGTGATTTTAACATTGATTTATTGAGCGACACGGCTGCTTCTCGACATTTAAATAATTTGTTAGAAAGCTTTGGACTAACTCAATATGTGACTCAACCGACACGCATTTCTAAAACGTCTGCAACGCTACTAGACTTAGTAATATGCACTGACAGCATAAACGTTTGTGATTGTGACGTACTGCACGATGAAATAAAAAGTGATCACAGTCTGGTTAAAACGAATATTCTTATTGATTCTAAAACCGAAATAGTTAACAAGATTAGGTACCGTAACTTTAAAAAAATTGATAAAATGTTGTTCGAAACTGAGCTACGCAGGCTTCCGTTTGAAAATATCCTGCTCACTAATAATATTGACTCTAAAGTAAGTATACTCACAACACTTATTTTGCAAATATTTGACACTTTCGCCCCAATTCACTCGGTGGTTCTGAATAAGCAGTCCAAGCCGTGGATAACGGATAACATAAAATTACTCTTCAAGTTGCGCGATAATGCTCTGAGACGTTTTAAGCGGACTAAGAGAGAAGCACATTGGGACTATTACAAACTTTTACGAAACTTTACAAATAGAGCTGTTAACAATGAAAAAAAAGCGTATCTGCGATACAAACTCTCTAATAAAACTTCACCTAAATTGTTATATAAAGAATTAAAAAAATTAAATGTTTATTGTCGAAAAAGTAACAGTAATATTCCTGATGAGTTAGGCGATGTAGAAATGTTGAATGATTTTTTCATTAAATTGGCTAAATCTCAACATTCTCCGAATTTAAATATTTTAAACAAACTTATTAACTCTAAAAAAGAAGTTAGCCTTTTTTCTTTCAAGGAAGTAAATGATAATGTTGTATACAGTAGATTGTTAAGTATAAAGTCCAATGCAATTGGAGCTGATGAAGTTGGTCTAGATATGCTCCTGTATTGTTGTCCCTATATCATAAAATATCTTACTCACATTATCAATACGTCAATCAATAGTGCCACTTTTCCATCTCAATGGAAAGCTGTCCACGTACTACCTTTGAGTAAAGTTAAAAACCCTACTCAATATAAAGATATACGCCCAATTAGTATCCTGTGCACCGCAGCTAAAATATATGAAAAAGTCTTATATGAACAAATACAAAGGCATTTAGATGATAATCAAATAATACCATCAAATCAGTCCGGCTTTAGACGCAACTATAGTTGCAATACGACACTACTGTCAATAACTGATGATATCATTGCGGCAAGTGATAATAACCTTCTTACTATTCTAGTACTTCTTGATTACAGTAAAGCCTTTGATAGAATTAATCATCAGCTGTTGCTAGGAGTCTTGCATTTCATTGGTTTTAGCGATACAGCTTTGGATTTAGTACGTAACTACCTAAGTGATAGGTTTCAAAGAGTTAAATTACATAATCGTTTATCTTCTCCAAAAAATATAACAAACGGTGTTCCACAGGGTTCTATTCTCGGGCCTCTATTCTTCTGTATTTATACTTGTTTATTTCAAGATTGCCTTCAGCATTGCCGCTCACATTTTTATGCCGACGATACACAGTTATATATATCCTTTCCCCCTAAAGATTTTCATAATAACATTAAAAATATAACTAGGGATTTAACGGCACTTTTTCAATTATCTAATGACTACTGCCTTGATATAAATTCTTCTAAATCAAAAACCCTGCTGTTTGGTCGAAAGCACTGTCGACTTCAATATAAGGATCAATTTAAGATTATAGTAAATAATGAAACTTTACCTACTTCGGAAATATCAAAAAACTTGGGCTTATTTTTAGATACGGATCTACGGTTTGTAAAACACGTAAATGAGATTATAAAAAAATGTATGACTAACATAAAAATGATATATGCAAATAAATACATCTTAACTCATCAAGCTAAACGTACGTTGTGCGAATCACTAGTATTTTCACATATGCATTATTGCGATTCGGTATATGGCCCTTGTGTAACACGATATGATAGTCAACGTCTTCAACGCATGCAAAATATTTGTATTAGATTAGTGTATAATTTAAAAAAAAGGCAAGGAGTGTCAGCTAAGCGATTTGAATTGTCTTGGCTATCTGTTCAGGAAGCGCGTTTTTTACACACCTGTTGTCTCTATCGAAAAATTGTCAATCTTAAAACTCCCCCCTACTTGTATAACAAAATAAGATTCAGGAGCGATGTACACAATATTAATATTCGCAGAAAGGATGATATCTCCATTCCTCGACATTCCACTGCTATGTTCAAAAGTTCATTTTCATATTTAATAGGCCGTATCTTGAATCTTATACCAATAGAGTTTAAAAAATTAAGTCATGTAACTTTTAAAAATAAGTTGAAATTTTTGTTACTTCGGGGACAGCTTTTGATCGATTTTAAAATATAAATATTAAATTGTGATTATTTGATTGATCTTTGTATATTTTTATATTTATTGCTTGAAGCAACGTTCACTAATTTTCATTGAGCTTCGTCTACTAGACTAGGTAGGTATTTATGATGTCTTTGTTTGTTATTAATTACAATTTTCATTTTTTTTTTATGTGTATCCATTATGTATTTATATATGTACTACATTTAAGGGGTGTTTATATTTAAACTATTAATTTTGACCGGGCGTATTGAAAACCATTTTAGTCTGTCTTCTGATAGGCTACGATGAATACGATTCCTTTTCAGTATAGTAGATAATCCTTGTATTTTTGTTAAAACTTCTTGTGTTTCACTATTTTATGTATATGGATTCTGCTTTCTGAATAAATATTATTATTATTATTATTATTATTATATTTGCTGCCTTCTGTCTCGCGTCGCTTGTCGCGCGTTGCCAAATGGTACTTTTATTATACGCAACAGTATGTATTTTGCTAAATAATGAATATTTATTATTTATACTGCACTAATTTAAAAAACTAATTAATTGCAGTTTTTATATTGTATTTACATTGTTTACTACCTATAAACTATATTTATTTATGTAAAAATAGTGATCCGTCTATGGTTTACCGCTTACAAGAGTCAATTCCAAAATACGGGTACGTTTTGGCCTTAGTGGTTTCCCCCTCGGGTCATACTTTTTGTTACATTTCTGAGAACGTCCTCCTCTCCTTATTCTTCAAAGGAACTATATATTGAATGTTTAAAAAAAGTCATACATCTACATTATTTCACGCTCAATTTTCAAATTGTAAGATCAATCTCTAAAGTGTATACAACAATGAACTCAAATCCACAAATTTGTCCATAGATCAATCTACTTATCTCAAGGCAGCTCCCTCCAAGACACGTTACGTCTTCTAACGCTTTGGTTCGACTATGGACAATCCGCTCAAGTTTCCGAGGCCATCGCCGAAGGAATTCGTTTGGTAGAGAAAAACACTTGGCTCCAAGTGATTCCCCAATTGATAGCCCGTATCGACACTAATCGCCTGTTGGTCTCGAAATTGATCAATCATCTTTTAGTGGACATAGGCAAAACTCATCCGCAAGCTCTCGTCTATCCTTTGACGGTGGCGACGAAAAGTAATTCTAGTGTGAGAAGGAGCGCCGCTAATAAAATACTGAAAAGTATGAGTGAACATTCTCATACCCTAGTCAGACAGGCGTTGATGGCTTCAGAAGAATTGATCAGAGTCGCCATTTTGTGGCACGAAATTTGGCACGAGGGACTGGAGGAAGCATCAAGGTAAGTTCTTGTTTATTTTAAATTCGAGTTTTTATTAGTATTTTTATTCTAGGCTTTATTTTGGAGAACGTAACGTCGAAGGTATGTTACGGATCTTGGAACCATTACATACAATGATGCAGAGGGGCCCTGCAACTTTAAAAGAAACGAGTTTCAATCAGGCTTACGGAAGGGACTTGGCTGATGCTCATGAATGGTGCCAACGATACAAAGTGAGTGAAGTAAAATACCAATTTTACTAGAAAAATATTGATTTATGATTTATTTTTAGGTATCTGGCAGTATTCGAGACCTGAACCAAGCTTGGGACTTGTATTATCACGTATTTAGAAGGATATCCAGGCAATTACCTCAATTAACGTCATTGGAATTGCAATATGTTTCCCCAAATTTACTGATATGTAAAGATTTGGAACTAGCTGTGCCTGGAAGTTACTCACCCGGACAAAATATTGTTAGAATAGATCATTTTAATCCTTCTCTGGAGGTAAGATTGTTTTCATATTAGCTAAAGTTATAATAACGCATCCGATTTTTTAATTATATTTACAATCCATAAAAGTATTTAGATTTCTTAGAAAAACCTTCATTCATCCGTTTATTTGGCATTTAGAAGCAAATTGGTATTGTTATTCGCGCTCATAAACAGCCAATGTAATCATTGTAAGAACAATAAAAACATTGATGAATTTAAAATTCTCCTAGACAATATTCAGTTTAATTTTGATTGTCTAGTACTAACAGAAACTAATATATACAACAAAATGATGGTACACAGTAATATATGTAAAAAATAATCTTTCCTTTACACATAATTTCATAACAATAGGAGGTATAAACTTTTTAAAAGTGGAAATTGGACAATATCTATAACAATTTGCTATCGATCGCCTGCTTCCAATGTGAATGATTTTTTGCAGAAATTACGGGATTATTTTGAAGAAAATCAAACAAATGCAAATACAATATTTTTATTGGCGATATAAATATAAATCTACTAGACAATAACTTTTTCAAAGATAAAAACATTAATGCTGTCGATATGACAATTCCTATTATACTAAAAACAACAATTACTGATAATGACACAACTTTACTTCAGATAGTTATGGAAAAAGAACAAAAAAAATAACAAAAAATCATTGTTAATAAGAATTCATAAATTATGAAAAGGCTGTGAAATCATGTCAATATATGTCCTGGAACTCTGTCTACTCATCAGAGGATCCAAACACAGCAACAAACAATTGTATTAGAGAATTAAAACATATAATTAATGCCTGTACAGAAAAAAATTATGTAGGCGTAGAAATACAACTGTTGCACCATGGCTCACAAACAGTTTATTAAAAATGATTAATAGAAAAATGAAATGTTTAAAAATTTTAATAAATACCCTGAAAATGTTATATTACAAAATCAATATAACGCTTATAAAAATATTCTTACAAAACAAATAAAAAAAATACTATAAACAACAACTAGCGGCAAAAAAATAACAGTAAATTTTTGTGGGACACGGCGAAAAAGTTTTCCGAGGAAAACCAACAAAATTTAAGATTAACCCTATTGCAAACGACAACGGATACTTATTAACAGGTAACCAGGAAATAGCTAATGAATTTAATAATAAATTTACTAGTTTTGGAAAAAAGTTAGCCTAACACATTCAGAATAACCCTAACTATCAAATTAAATCCAAAATTCTACCAAATTCAATGTTATTAGTTCCTACTGATACCAAAGAAATATTTAACCTAATCTGTGACCTCAAAAATAATAAATCACCTGGACATGATGACATTAGAGCAGAATTTAAAAAAAAAAGTTGCAAATCATATATCGGCTCCATTTACATGGATAATAAATAAATACATTAATGAGAGATTGTGGCCTGATACTTTCAAGAACTCTATTGTAATACCAGTCCACAAAAATGGTGACAAAGCATCTGTAAATAATAACAGACCCATACCACTGATTAGTCATCTATCAAAGGTATTTGAGAAATTAATAAAAAATAGAATAACGTCATTTGTAAATAAATTTAAATTGTTAGTAAGACAATACGGCTTTAAAGAATGCCCTCAACTGTAGATGCTGTTCTTGAACTCACTAAAAAAATCCATGGATCTATCGAAAATAGCAGACTACGCTTATGTCTATTTATTGACTTAAGCAAAGCATTTGACACTGTCAGTCACACATTATTACTCCAAACCTTTGAAGATACAGGAATAAGGGGAAACATAGATATTATGGAAATTGGACGAAAGTTATCCACTTGTGAAGTTTTTCCTTTTTTATACAGGGTGGCTCACGCTCAACGGGACGGAGCTTTATGGGAAAACGAACAAAGATATAAAAAATCCGTTTGGGAGGAATACGTAGGTTACAGACGGCTACAATTTAAAATTTGTTAGATGTATACAGGATGTCCCACATAAGAAAAAAAAATTAGTTCATTAAAAATTATTCAAACAAGAGTAAACAATTAATTTCTGGGAGACTTTTTTTCCTTAAAAATTCAAATAAATCGAAAACTAATAATAATAGTAATAGGGAACCTTTAGTTAACTGACATTATTTTTTATGTAGTTTTTAATTCTAAAATAAAAAACAGGGTGTTCCATTAAAAATAATATAACTTTGTATATTTTCTCTTATGTGGGACATCCTGTATACATCTAACAAATTTTAAGTTGTAGTTCTGGTTTTAAACTAACACAATGTGTCGTAAGGTGATGTTCCAAATCCTTTATATAAGCAAGCTACCGCCTAAATGCAAACAAGGGGTTAAGGGTTGTAAACAATTTACTGCAGATAAATATATTAATCTTAACTAATTACGGATTCATTTAATAGTTATTTCTAAAAGAATTACCCAAAAGATGGTATCTAATACTTCTAATTTATTAGGTGATAACTTCGAAACAACGCCCAAGAAAATTAGTAATACGAGGCAGCAATGGCAAAGACTACATGTTCCTTCTCAAGGGCCATGAAGATTTGAGACAAGATGAGCGAGTCATGCAGTTATTTGGTCTAGTCAATACACTTCTTCTGAAGGATCCTGATACATTCCGAAGAAATTTAACCATACAGCGTTACGCCGTTATACCTCTTAGTACTAATTCTGGACTCATAGGTAAGTAAAAAAAACATTTGTCTCACAAAAAACTGATTTATTTCTTTTTTTAGGTTGGGTACCTCATTGTGATACTCTACACACATTAATTAGAGATTATAGAGATAAGAAAAAGATTCTCTTGAACATTGAACATCGTATAATGTTAAGAATGGCAGCTGACTACGATCATTTGACGGTGATGCAGAAAGTGGAAGTTTTCGAACATGCTCTCGAACATACTCACGGCGATGATTTAGCCAAGTTGTTGTGGTTAAAGAGTCCGTCCTCGGAAGTGTGGTTCGACAGGAGAACGAATTATATAAGATCTTTGGCTGTTATGAGTATAGTGGGATATATTCTTGGATTGGGCGATCGGCATCCTAGTAATCTTATGCTTGATAGGTGCGTATTGTTTTTATATAAAATAATTTTAATAAATTACAACTTTATATACATATGGCGCGAAATAGATGACCTAATGTCCATTCTTTTTTTATTTATTCGCTCTTTAAGATCTTTATTTACCACCTTGATGGTAATTGCTTGAGTGGACCTATTTTGTTTGCCCTATCCACATGGCATTCTTTTTAAATATAAATGTTATTGAAATAATATTTTATAGGTATTTTCTAGACATGTGAACATTTTTAACAAATTTTGTAATAAACACGTCACAGGATACATATGTAACTGAAGAAGGATATCAATTAGCTCTAATACCGTAATCTTAAATAGTAAAATAATTTCTCAAAATCAGTCCAACATAAAAATATATTATATGACAACCAGTTTCGCCGTAGGGCCATCATCAGGGGTAAGATTAAAAAATGCTTGGACGTCTCAAGAAAATATTAAAAATTGTGGTTACCACCAAGAACCATTGTGGGAAAAAAATTAGATGTGTGAACATGTGGGAAAAAATTCTAAACAATATTACTCTGCTTAGAATAAGACATTACAAATGGAGATTAATATTAAAGTTAAGAAATTCCGAATAACATAAACTTGGAGGTATATTTTTGTGCAAGAGTGTCTTTATTTTCACACAGGAAGGAATTCCATTATCTTATTGACGGCAGACAAGAAATTATCTTCTGGATGCTTCGTTTTAAGGTCTGTGGCAGCGCATCTTAGTTTCTCAGCTGCAAAAAGCATGTAGTTTTCAATAATTGAGTCACATTTAAGATATGGTATTTGTTTTTGGGGGTCGTGTTCTTTAGAATTAATTAATAAGGTATGAAGTTTAAGTCAGAGGTATTAAATTTAACTAATTGTAAACCAGTAATATAATTATTTAAATAAAGACCAACACCACCACCTCTAGATTGTCTATCAAGTCGGTAAAAATTGAATCCAGGAATTGAAATGGTGTTTGTATCAATATTTGCAGACAACCATGTTTCAGTAACAGCAATACAGTCAAACTCATTTACCAAACTCAGAAATTCATTAAAATTTGCCACAAGAGAACGAAAGTTTAATAAACATAAAAATAAATAAAATTAGAATAGATAAAAAAATTATAAAAAGTACTTATTCTAGATAGCCTATCTTGCTCTTTAAAATGTCTACATGGAATTTAAAAGTTGGGCACTCGCGGTCACTATTTTGGTGTCCAGTGGCGTGGTTTGTGTTGTAATTACGGTTAGATGACAATTCATGCAGGATTTTTCCTGTTTGGGACATTCTCGAATCACAATACCAACGTCTAACCTCGTATTGAAGTTCTTAGTATATAATAAGAAAAACATTTTCAATCAACTGCCATTAGAATTAAGACAGACTGAAAATGATAAGGCCTCTCCGAGAGAACTGAAGAGTCTACTAGCTGAGAAAACTTACTATAATCTTGGGGAGTTCTTTAACAACTCATTCTAACTGATTTATTTCATTTCATATATCTTTATGTATTAAATTCTTACCTTGTCTTTTATTTATTTTAGCAAATGTTGTCTGCTGGATATTTTATTTTGTTCCACAACAGTAAGTTCTAAAACTTTCAAGCATGCTCAGTCAATTTATAGTTCAATTAAGACGAAATTGGCACGGCATTATTTTCATAACAAAAACTACCACTAAGTTGGCGATAGATGGCACTTCTGCATAATAATTCAAATGTTCAATTATTCTCAGAAAAAATAAGTACTGTATATTGATTGATTACCCACAATTTTTTAATATTTTCTTGAGACGTCCGAGTGTGATTAAACTATTTAATCTTATACCTAATGACGGCTCTATGACCGAAACTGGTTTTCACAATTTGATGAGTAATTGCGTTTCGACATTGTCTTAGCACACAGATGCAAAAAAACTCATACAATACATTAAATCACTGAATTAAATAGAAAAACACATATCTATCCGTAAACAAATAAAAAATCGAACAATACTAGCCCGTCACAAGGCTAACACATTGTAAACAAACAAGTCGCCTCTCGTACGCCAAAAGAGGAGAAAAATTTGTTTGAATAACGATTCCCTTTATATTTATACAATTAAATGTATCAATTTTTTACAGACTGAGTGGTAAAATCCTCCATATCGACTTTGGAGACTGTTTTGAAGTAGCAATGACTAGGGAAAAGTTCCCCGAAAAGATCCCATTTAGACTGACGAGAATGCTCATCAATGCCATGGAAGTAACTGGGATAGATGGTACATATCGCAGGACTTGCGAATCGGTTATGTCTGTGTTACATAGGAATAAAGATAGTCTTATGGCTGTGTTGGAAGCTTTTGTATATGATCCTTTGTTGAATTGGAGATTAATGGATGCCACCATGAAAAATCGGACGAATACCGGAGAAATTGGGTCATTTTCTACTGGTAATAATTTATTAAAAAAAAAAAGAAATAATGCTATGAAAAGGATAGTATAATATTTAATTTTATATTTTTGTTCCAGTAGGTACTTCTCAAGATCACGATCTTATCGAATCCCTTAGCTTGACGTTAAACAAGAAAAACCTCTTAGCGGACATAGTAAGCGAAAGTTCTCAACCAGAAGGCGTCAATAAAAAGGCAGTATCCATCATCAATAGGGTTAGAGATAAATTAACCGGTAATGATTTCAATGCCGATGAATCCCTGACTGTTGAAAAGCAAGTGGATTTGCTAATACTGCAAGCCACCAGTAACGAAAATTTATGTCAGTGTTACATTGGTTGGTGTCCTTTTTGGTAAAGCAAGTGCGATGTGGGCATTATTCCAAGGAACAAAGGATATTTGCAGTTGAAAATACTCATGTATGGATGCTGAAAATTGCATGCAGATACAAACTGATTTCAATTAAAATATTTCATTTTAGTTCTTTTGACATTGCGTTGAGTTATGACAGGTTATTTTTTTAGAAATAAGGATACAAATGAGAAAGAGAAAATCAAGATTCAATGATAAAAAGAAAATATATATATTTTTTTAGTTAAATATCCCTATTTTACTTTTTAAAACAACTTCAGTTATATTATAGAATAATAATGAACAAAGCGCATTTTTTTTGGTCCATAGTTTTTATAACCATTATATTTTGATCATCGACAGTTTTACTGATAATTTGAATTATTTAAACCAAAAATGTTCTAAAATACACTTGAAAGGTTTTTTTTTTTTTTTTTATTTTTTTGATAAAAAGTGATGTACCTGTAATTTGTATATTTCTGTATATATGTTTAATGTTGAAAAATATTTATTTACAAATATTGTATCTGGAAATGTTTGTACAGTTTATCCCAAAGAATACGAATTTAAAGAAATTGGCAAAATTTGCAGAGATTGTGATCATAAAAAACCCATTTTTTTTTTTATTTCAAAGAGTTATTCAATTGAAGATGAGAGAAAACTGCATATTTAGGGTGTATTCTCTCTTAAAATGGGTCAGATTCTTTGGGACAATCTGTATTAAAAACTAATGTGTGCTGCTATACCTTGGTAAAGCTTTATTTTATAGCATATAATTATTGACTTAAAATCCTACCCATAAATGATTATAATTAAGTTTAAATAAGCAACTCATTGTTGTTAGATCATAGTTTGTTTATTTAATAAAACTTGTTTTTACAAATACAAGCATTTCAAATTATTTCTTCCAATGAAAATAAACTTTCATAAATTTTCACACACTCTAAAATTATTTCCCTTAAGAGCTACTGGAACTGGATCTAGAATGCTTCCTCCGTCTAGGTGGGGGACTCCTAGAGTGTGCCCTGCGTCTTGGAGATGACCTCCTCATAGGTCTGATGGGAGATCTTCTCCGAAATCTTGGAGGCGTCCTTCTATGCATTGGAGGTCTTCTCATTGGTGGAGGAGGAGATCTTCTCATAGGCATAGGACGTGGTTTTGGTAAAATCAAAACTGGCGCAGCGGTTATTTCCTGACCATCAATCTGTCCGCCGTCCATGTGCTTCATGGCATTTTCAGCTTCATCAGCTGTTGCATACTCAACATAACAGTATAGGCGCCCCAAATTGGGGTGTGCATGGTCCTTTGGAAATTCAACATGCTTTATTGTGCCATAAGTCCCAAAGATTTCCAAAATATGTTCTCTGTTGACTGTTCTAGTAAGACGGCCAATATGAATTTTTGTTGGGCGCGGTGTAGGGGAACGGCGACGGCGTTTTCTTGGAGATCTGGACCTTTTAAAAGAAAAATAATTTTACAATAATATTACAAATCAAATAACACAAAAATTCATGATTATAGTTATTAAAATGCACCAAAATCCCTATTTAAGAAAGGTTTTTCACTATTACATAAATTTCATAATATATTTAAAAATACCTTGTTCTAGTGCGAACATGGTTTTTATCCTTTTCCTTCTCCTTATCTTTGACGGGAGTTTGTGCCTTCCTGTCCCTGTCCTTTTCTCTCTCTCTGTCCCTATCCTTTTCATCTTTTTTGGGCTCCACTTTTTCTTTATCCTTTTCTCTTTCACGCTCCTTTACTTCCTTCTTCTCTTTATCTTTTTCCTTTTCTTTTACATCTTTATGTTTACTTGTTAGTTTAGCAGCTGATGTAGATCTACAACAAATTCAAATTCTTGTAAATGTGCATCAAATAATAAATTATGATTTCTAACTATATTCAATTTAAAATGTCTCACCTTCTTCTTGGCCTTGTTCTCTCATTACCACTGCTTGAGGAGGATGAATCTGAAGAAGAGCTACTAGATCTAGAGCTAGATCCGGAACTAGAAGAACTGGATGATCTTGAAGTTGAAGAACTGCTGTCAGAAGAACTAAAAATATATTTTTTTTAAATATTAGTGACTTTGTATGTTACATTACCTGCTCTTGCTGCTGCTACTACTCCCAGAAGCTGAACGCTTTTTTTTATCTTTTACTTTTTCCTTCTTTTTTTCTTTATCAGAGTCGGTATCTGTATCTGGCTTAGCCCTAGAACAATTTAAAACTACAGAAACGCAGCAAAGTAGAAAACGGTATAAAAAATATATGGATTAAGCACGATTTTTCAGAGGTTAGTATGTTAGTAAATCGGCTATACTAAGAAATTAAATTTGTTTTATTCCACATCAGACCTTTGCAATCTCACATTTAGCTTAGTAGAATTTCATATATACTTACATTTTTTTTTATTTCACTCAATACAAATGAACCAATATAAAATTTTCTATAAAACAGAAAATTCCCAACAAGTTTTCGGGATTATTTTCTTGTCACTTGTCAAAATCTTCCGGCGTCCTATTTCTACTTCTCTCAATCTTCTTTTTTAAAATATAAGGCCTATAATCATTTAGATGTGCATTTATGAATAGGGAATATTATCCTATTTGAATTTTAGGTGGTTTGTTCTGATTCTTTAGAAATATATTGAAAACTGGCCGAGTAATAGAGGATCTGTGGAAAGTTGAAAAGTTTTACTTGACTAATAATTTGATATTAAACTGTTCTACTGGATCTCGGACTGTTTTCACTCTGTACTGTTTTCACTCTGTACTGTTTTTGCAGTACATTTTAAAGAAACCAGAACAAGCTACTAGCCAGAGGTGTATTTTAAAAAATTCAATAACTTATTTTTTGTCTAAAAGTTATCTACCACTGTAATAATTGAAAAATTTCCGATTCTGTGTGAACTGTATTATTAAATAGTAAGGGACTTGTCAAAGACGTTTGTGACAGTTGAAGTTGACTGATAAATCCGATACGTGCCGCCATCTATATCTGCTGTCGAAATTGTGAAGGCAATTGAAAGTTGGGCGAATGGGCCCCAGATTTTCCTTGATACTTCCAATTTTTGTTATTTTCTACTGGTTAATGTATTTTCTAGTATAAGTTATTTGTGTAAAAAACGTAGATTTTTCTAATTTTGTAGAAAGAGACTACAAGTCAGTGTTTTAAAGTGCCATTTGACCTGCCAGGGCAGTCTACTTATGCAATATTTGGTGAGTACATTACTATTTTGAAGGTTATATTGAAATCTGATTTATTTTATATGTATTCCTCGCTTTCTATTAATATTGTCTGGTTAATTTTGAATACCACTTGCCCGAGAAGAGAATTTTTCTATTCGGCAAGATTTGGCACTGTTTTATTTATAAACAGTAACGTAGTACACATAAAAGTTATTTTGACAATATTGATTTTGAATACCTTTTGAAATATATTGTTCTACTTGTATAAAAAGAAAATAATGTCAGGCCAAGGGCTAGTTAACATTAATACCTACATTTTCTTGCTATTGACACATGGCTAGCAGATATGGACTGTTACAAGGACGATTTTTTTATGTTGTTATTTATGTGTATTTTTTAATTATTACTTTAAAACTGTTTTTTACAAACAAAAAAGTTTTTGTATATTACGGAATATTAATACCTTAGTTTGTTTTTGTTGATTACATGATAAGTTTATTTGTTTAGAAATTAAGTAAGTGCATAAGTGCAGTTAATCTTCAACACACACCTACTTGAAATAAAAAACTTAATTTCTTATCTTTTTCAAATAATAATTTAAAATATATTAATGCTAATTTTAAAATCATAAGAGTATGTATATTTATTGGCCTTGTAGAGTTAGAAAAATTGTAAAATGAGATTTATTTGGTAACATATGCCTAGAAACGTGCTAAATGAATAAACAAAGGATATAAATTAAAAAGAAATAAAAATGGTAAATTAGGACTTGCTTTTATAGGTATATGCCCTTCAGTTTTTATTTAAATCAGGCTTGGTCATAGAGGTTAAGTGCTAGTGCTCATTTTTATTATTTGATGCATAATTGTTAAATTATCTGACACAAAAACATTTTGGAACTAGAGATTCATTATAAACCGAATTATAAACATAAAATACAAAAATCATCTCCCTGTTAAATGATTAATATTTACCCAATAGGTATAAATTTATTTGTAATTATATTCTAAAAGATAAAGTGTTATTAATTATTACTAAGTCCAGTTAGGAAAGGGTTAGTTATGAAATCTAATTTCAGAAGTATATAGAATCTGCAGAACTGTGCTAGTGTGTCATAAATATAAACAAATAATTGTTATAAGTATAATATTGTAGACAGTTCTACATACTCAGAATTTCCTCTTCCTTCCAAAACCGAATCATTTGTTGGGAGGTCGTCTTTACTCCAATTGAAAATTGCTTGAATTTTTCTTTTTTTACCGTGAGAAGTTGAAACTGCAATTTCATGAGATTCTAAGTGTTTTCCTGATCTGAGTATTCTGCCGATATTTCCTTGAATAAACCATCCATTTTTCTAAAAGTAAATTTTTATTTTTTATCGGTCAATGTAACCAAATGGTTACTATACTATTCAAATCTAATTTCTTGTAGTATGTAAATATGCACTAAAATTATATTTATCTTAGTAATTAGTTTCGTCCCTCTATAAACTTATAAACGTAAACATAAATCTAAATAAATAAAATTACTTACTGAAATTATATTATTTATCACAACTGACGGTCCTCAGCAGTACAACACAGGAAGCGCGTGAAAAAAACAAGCGCCAAACGAAATTTTTAGGAATTATTCGATTTGTTGTGTATTCAACCAACAATATAAGGTTGTATCCATATGGTAAGAGCGCCCGGTGAGATTAAATATACGAGGAGTGAATTTAGAGAAGGTTTTTGTTCAATGTAATGTAACCATGCGGTTACAGTGCACGTTAAAGGGTTAAGGAGACTCCCGGAAAAATCCATTTCACTTTCAAAATCTCCCGGCTTCAGGAATGTACCTAAAATCTCCCGGATCTTTAAACTATGAATAATGAAATTGAGTGGGTTGAATTAAAAGAGTTCTTCTCTCAAAATGTCTATAAATGCATGAGGATAAACTGTATGATAATAATTAAAGTAGAAGTACGTGAAGTTATTGTGAGCAAATAAATAACCAAAGTAGGCGCGTTTGGGTTAATTTTTTTGAAAAATGTGTAGAGGAATCAGCTAAAGAAATAAAAAATTTAATTAATTCGCTCTACCTATGCCGATCGTGTTTATTGAATTGGTCAAAAAGTCATAATCGTCTTAATGCAACTCATGTCAAATCTGAAATAAAAGTGTGCATACATTTAAAATTCATATGTAAAGAGTTTTATGATTATATCGATAATGAAAAAGTATTTCCAGCTGCTTATGTTGTAAAAAATACAACTTTATGAAAAAAATATCGGGTCAAAAATATTGTAAAATTTCATACTTAAAAATAATCTTTAGTTATTGCAATTATTTGTTACACTTTACTATTTTTTTGTTTTTCTTTTCTCCCGGATTTATGATTCACAGATTTGGAAAGCCTACTGACATGCTGGCTAGATTATTAATCAGGAATGGACAGGTTGATAACGATTTTGACGAATCAGGTGATTTCAGCCCCCTTCTCGTCTCTTAAGTGTTTTTATAGATATACGGATTTAAATCATTTTGAAAAGATGTAAATCGTTTTAAAAAAATTTAAATCGTTTAAAAAAAATTTAAATCTAATTTTTAAATAAAAAATCAAAGATACTTTTCAGAAAGATTTAAATCATAAATCAGAAATCTTTTTTTAAAAAAGATTTAAAATCAAAGTATTTAAATCAAAAAATGATTTAAATCTCACTGATAGGTGACAGCTCTGTACATACTGTAATTAAAAATGTAGATTATAAAATTCATTTCTTTAACAATGGATCTTAGAGGAATTTTAATTCAAAGAAATTTGGTACGAGTAAACAGCATTTAAATAACACTTAATTTACACTCATTTTTAGAATGCAATTGTTAAATATGTCGAATGGTTTTTCTGAAAATCTAATAAGAAAATAATTTATTTTTAAGCTGTTTGATATTAGGATTGTGAATTATTGATTTTTATTATGTTTAATTTTGAAGATCTCTCTACCTGAAAAATATCTTTAAGCCTAATTATTAGGGCTGTCTTGGGAAGGGTTGGTATATCTAAGGGGCTGCGACATACGATGTATTCTATCTACAAAATGTTAAATCATGAATAATGTATTAAATTTAAATATTTTATGTTGAACACAATGAAAATATTTAAAAAAAAACTGCATATACATTTTTCATAAATTGGCTGGCTTGACTACTACTATTTCGAATAAAAATAGCGTCCAAAATGGAAGGCTATGTCGCAACCCCTTTGGATATGATATACAATCCCTTCCCACCGGCAACTATTGTTTGATTATTGGTAGGTATGCCTAATTATTTCTTGTTAAGATAAATAGTATGGTATCTTTTTATAAAAAAGTAACACTATACAAAAAGTATGTTTTTTTAAATTATTTTTTTACCATTCTGCTTAACAACTAAATTAATATTAAAAGTTAAAAGTTCTTCTATAAATTTTTGTATATTGTCACTTTTGTTTTCAAGGTGCCAAATATCCAATGAAATGGTTTAAAATAGTAAAAAAACGGAAAGCCACGTGGCAACGTTGCCTTTTTTGGGGGATCTTTACAAAGAAGAACTTGGGCAGTGTTAGTATTACTCTACAGAGTGAGCAATATTTGACTTTCATAGCCGCCCTCGATAATAAAAGAAACTAAACGCCCATATACACTAGTGAAAAAAATTAAGGAATCAAAAAAAAATCTCGATATTTTGCGTTTTTTTCGAGTGGCTGTATCTTTGGTAAAAATGGTCGTACGTGAATAAAAAAAAGCAATTTGAAGCTTGAAGTGTCTAGTTTATGGATCGATAACAAATTTTCCAACCAACAATTAGCACAAAATCCTGATGAATATCATGGATAGAACATTTTTAAATTTTTTTTTTTTGTAATTTTTAGTGTACGGTCTTGAACAAAATTTTCTCGACATAACCACTATATGCATTGGATAGGTGGTTCAGTTAGCTTCAATTCCTTTTTTTGATGGTCTCGAGATGACCCTTCCTTGTTGAGTTATCAGAAAATGAACGAAAATGCGTCATTTCCTCTTCTCTCGTCAATATCTCAGGAACCAATGGCCGCTCAGAAAATGGAAAGGGGGTTTCGGAAACTTCGATTCATTCTCTACAAGGTTCTGGCATGTTCTTTCACGAGACATTTTTTTTATCCCTAGCATGACTTTGAAGAATTTCGGAAAATAGGTCGTTTTGAGGTTTTTTAGAAAATCAAGTGCCACATTGAGAATATTGGGAAAATGACTAATGTTGAGTATGCATCTTACAGGCCATTGTTCCCCCGAAAGTCCTGCAAAATTTCAACCTGATCCATCAAGCCGTTTCATTGTTTCATGCGAGTGAATTTTTATTGTT